TGATACATTAAATTTCAACATGAAAAAAAGGATCCCTACCATCTTACTGTCACCTTCAGGTGGCAATACCTTCTGCCAATCATGATACATTCAACTAAATAGGGGTGCCCCACAACCGCACTGCAACTGCATGCAGTGCGTGTGGTGGTTGCATATTGCTTGTGTGGGTTTTAAGGAGTTAAAACCAGTGGTGAGGATGCAAAATAATACCTCCTCACCCCCTTTTCAATGCCCTCTAAAGAGTGATCCAAAGCAAATTGTTCTTCAAGGGGCAATGCAAGTGAAAACAAGGTCTTAGTTTTTTTCCCCTTTATTTTCATTTTGTGATCTGGTCAATAACACGCTTCCTATTTTAGGGTTTCACTCTGGATGATAGCAAAGGAGCCATGATTGGACATCAGCATTTCCAGTTGGGGAGAGGGTAGTGCTAGATGCACTAGCAGATTTAGATAGACTTGACTAACAAATTAAAGCTGAACTCCAACTAAACACTTTTTAGGGCCTTCTCACATGGGAGTTCCATTTTTTTCATCACTTCAGACAAGTTTTTTTCAAAGAAAAAATGGATCAGTTTACATCCGTTTTTCATCAGTTTACATCAGTTTTTTTGATCAGTTTACATCCATTTTTCATCAGTTTATATCCGTTTTAACATCCGTTTTTATCCATTTACATCCGTTTTTCGTCTCTTCCAGGTTTTTTTAACGGAATAAAAATAGAGTTTTCTTCCATTCAAAAAAAGAGATTAACAGATATGGACATTAACGGATGTAAATGGATGATCATCAGTAGAGATGAGCGAATTGAACCTGTCGAAGTGGAATTCGTTTAGAATATTAGGAAAAATTTGATTCGCGCGCCGATTCCGAATATTAGCAAACTTCGGATGCGCGAATCAAATTTTCCCCGATCGGCCGATTTTCATCCCTTCTACAGCCGGCAAAAAGTGTCCCTGCAGAGAGCTCCACTATTTCTGACAGTTCTCTGACAGTTCCTTCACATTTACAGCAGTTGAAACATTGTATCTATTTGTTTCCATTTAGGATACAGATGTTTTTATTCGGAAACAAATCTATACAATGTTTCAACCGCTGTAAAAGGAACTGTCAGAGAACTGTCAGAAATAGTGGAGCTCTCTGCAGATACACTTTTTGCTGCACTGGAATTCTTCTTCATCCTCATCCTACTTCTTCTTCTTCTTCTTCATCCTCATCCTACTTCTTCTTCTTCTTCATCCTCATCCTTCTTCTTCTTCTTCTTCTTCATCCTCATCCTACTTCTTCTTCTTCTTCTTCATCCTCATCCTACTCTTCTTCTTCTTCTTCTTCTTCATCCTCATCCTACTTCTTCTTCTTCTTCTTCTTCTTCTTCTTCTTCTTCATCCTCATCCTACTTCTTCTTCTTCTTCTTCATCCTCATCCTTCTTCTTCTTCTTCTTCATCCTCATCCTACTTCTTCTTCTTCTTCTTCATCCTCATCCTACTTCTTCTTCATCCTCATCCTACTTCTTCTTCTTCTTCTTCTTCATCCTCATCCTACTTCTTCTTCTTCTTCATCCTCATACCCTACTTCTTCTTCTCCTTCATCCTCATCCTACTTCTTCTTCTTTTTCTTCTTCTTCTTCTCTTCATCCTCATCCTACTTCTTCTTCTTCTTCTTCATCATCCTCATCCTACTTCTTCATCCTCATCCTTCTTCTTCTTCTTCTTCTTCATCCTCATCCTACTTCTTCTTCTTCATCCTCATCCTACTTCTTCTTCTTCTTCTTCTTCTTCATCCTCATCCTACTTCTTTCTTTTCTTCTTCTTCCTCATCCTACTTCTTCTTCGTCTTCTTCTTCTTCATCCTCACTCCTACTTCTTCTTCTTCCCTTTCATCCTCATCCTACTTCTTCTTCTTTCTTCTTCATCCTCATCCACTTCTTCTTCTTCTTCTTCTTCTTCTTCTTCATCCTCATCCTACTTCTTCTTCTTCTTCTTCATCCTCATCCTACTTTCTATCCTTCTTCTCTTCTTCTTCTTCTTCTTCTTCATCCTCATCCTACTTCTTCTTCTTCTTCTTCTTCCATCCTCATCCTACTTCTTCTTCTTCTTCTTCATCCTCATCCTACTTCTTCTTCTTCTTCTTCATCATCCTCATCCTCTTCTTCTTCTTCTTCTTCTTCCTTCCTACTTCTTCCTCCTCATCTTCTTCTTCTTCTTCTTCATCCTCATCCTACTTCTTCTTCTTCTTCATCATCCTCATCCTACCTCTCTTCTTCTTCTTCATCCTCATCCTACTTCTTCTTCTTCTTCTTCTTCTTCTTCATCCTCATCCTACTTCTTCTTCTTCTTCTTCTTCATCCTCATCCTACTTCTTCTTCTTCTCTTCTTCATCCTCATCCTACTTCTTCTTCTTCTTCATCCTCATCCTTCTTCTTCTTCTTCTTCATCCTCATCCTACTTCTTCTTCTTCTTCTTCTTCATCCTCATCCTACTTCTTCTTCTTCTTCTTCTTCATCCTCATCCTCTCTTCTTCTTCTTCTTCTTCTTCTTCTTCATCTCATCTACTTCTTCTTCTTCTTCTTCATTCTTCTTCTTCTTCTTCTTCATCATCTCATCCTACTTTCTTCTTCTTCTTCTTCTTCATCCTCAATTCTTCTTCTTCTTCTTCTTCTTCTTCTTCTATCCTTCTTCTTCTTCTTCATCCTCATCCTCCTACTTCTTCTTCTTCATCCTCATCCTACTTCTTCTTCTTCTTCTTCTTCTTCTTCATCCTCATCCTACTTCTTCTTCTTCATCCTCATCCTACTTCTTCTTCTTCTTCATCCTCATTACTTCTTCTTCATCCTCATCCTACTTCTTCTTCTTCTTCTTCTTCATCCTCATCCTACTTCTTCTTCTTCTTCTTCTTCATCCTCATCCTACTTCTTCATCCTCATCCTACTTCTTCTTCTTCTTCTTCTTCATCCTCATCCTACTTCTTCTTCTTCTTCTTCATCCTCATCCTACTTCTTCTTCTTCTTCTTCTTCTTCTTCTTCTTCTTCATCCTCATCCTACTTCTTTTTCTTCTTCTTCCTCATCCTACTTCTTCTTCTTCTTTCTTCATCCTCATCCTACTTTCTTCTTCTTCTTCTTCTTCTTCTTCATCCTCATCCTACTCTTCTTCTTCTTCTTCATCCTCATCCTACTTCTTCTTCTTCTTCATCCTCATCCTACTTCTTTTTCTTCTTCTTCATCCTCATCCTACTTCTTCTTCTTCTTCTTCTTCTTCATCCTCATCCTACTTCTTCTTCTTCCTCATCCTACTTTCTTCTTCTTCTTCTTCTTCTTCTTCTTCTTCTTCTTCTTCTTCATCCTCATCCTACTTCTTCTTCTTCTTCTTCATCCTCATCCTACTTCTTCTTCGTCTTCTTCTTCTTCTTCTTCTTCTTCATCCTCATCCTACTTCTTCTTCTTCTTCTTCATCCTCATCCTACTTCTTCTTCTTCTTCTTCTTCTTCTTCTTCTTCTTCTTCTTCTTCATCCTCATCCTACTTCTTCATCCTCATCCTACTTCTTCTTCTTCTTCTTCTTCTTCATCCTCATCCTACTTCTTCTTCTTCTTCTTCATCCTCATCCTACTTCTTCTTCCTCATCCTCTTCTTCTTCTTCTCATCCTTCTTCTACTTCTTCTTCTTCATCTTCATCCTACTTCTTCTTCTTCTTCATCCTACTTCTTCTTCTTCTTCTTCATCCTCTTCCTCATCTTCTTCTTTTTCTTCTTGCCATGGGCCCCTGTACCGCCTCCTCATGCTGCTGCCCGGGTCCAGAGTGTGTCATGGGTCCCTGTACGGCCTCCCATTGCTGCTGTCTCCATCGCCACACTCTGCCATGTGCCACTTTCATGTCTCCTCACACTGCTGGTGGGTTCCATTTTGTCATAGGGTGCTGTATGGCCTCCCATTGCTGCTGCCTCCACCGCCACACTGTGGCTCCACACTCTGGTTTTGGCCCGTGACTGCCCAAATGAGTGAAAGTGTGCGGTGATTCTAAGATCGACGGCACTCATCTGCATGTCATACTGACTGACAGTATTATTTCTCTTCCCCAGCAGACTCCAAGGGCATTTAAATTAAAGGTACAGTGTTCTGCACTAATATAAAGGCTCTCTGAAGCCTAGAAACCCTTTTTATAAGTTAAATTCGCAGCGAATAAATTCGCATCGAATCGAATTTATTCCACAAATTCGGCGAATCAGCCGAATCGAATTTTTGAATAATTCGCTCATCTCTAATCATCAGCTAGCCCATAGAATAACATCTGTAAAACATACAAGTGAAAAACAGCCCATGTGAAAGAAGCCTTAAGCAGTTACACCATCCTTGTTTATTCCTATTCGGGATAAACTGACACTTTTTGTTGATAGAAGTTGAAAAATAACATACTTACTGGCAGGATCACCCTATGAAAACAAAATAATAAGAAGCCTAAAAAAGAGAAATTACTGTGACTACCACATCTAAAAATGTGTAAGCTGCAGTTTAATCTCTTGCTTTTCATTTTTAATTCCATTTTAAGGGCTCTAGTCAATTGTCCTTTAGGTTCGATGATAGGCATCACATGAAATCAGATATTTGCTCAGACACTTCTTAGGTTTACTCTACCAGGTTTGAAGCTTTGCTTTTTCATGCAGGTTTTAATATTTCCTTTTTTGAGAATTCAGGATTTTGCCTTGATGTTTTACTTTCTGACATTGTTTTGCATACTGTTTAGATATATTTATCACAAGAGAAAGACTGACCAACTGGCCAAAACAGATGGATTCTCTATCTTATGCTGGGCACTGACATTTGCCTCTTTGCTGTTACTAGAGGATATTTGAACCACATCCCTCATTTCCCAGTTAAATTTTTAATTCACTTAGACAATATTCCTGTTTGCATTTATGAATTTGAAAAAAAATAGTTTTTCTTTGTTTCTGTTATAAAATTTTGCAAACACGTAATTTTCTTCTTCACTGATGTGTGTTGAGGAGGCTGCACTGATAGGCAGCACTGATTAGCACTGATGAGGTGGCATGGATAGGCAGCACTAATGGGCACTGATAGGCGGCACTGATGACATGGCACTGATGAGGCAGCACTGGTGGGCATTGATGAGGAGGCACTGATTATGCTGCACTGATATGCAGCAATAATGGGCACTGATAGGCAGCACCGATGGGCACTAATGTGCAACACTGATGAGTGGCACTGACTGATGGTACTGACTGACAGCACTGACTGGCAGCACTGCTGGGCACTGATGGGTGGCACTGCTGGGCACTGGTGGAAGGCATTGCTGGACACTGATAGGAGGCACCTCTGGGCACTGGTGGGTGGCACTGCTGGGCGACACTGCAGGGCACTGATCATCAGTGTCTTGGTGATCAGTGCCTTTCTGTTCTGTCACATTTGCCAGTTGTCAGCAGTACTTTCCTCACGCTGTGTGAGGAAAGTGTTGCTGATAACCAGCAACTGTATATACTCCATGATCTGCTGTGTCATAGAATTGGCATTTTACCTCATCACATGGGATCAACTGTGTCCACAGAACAGAGCGATCATGGAGATCACCAGGTGAAACACCGCTGAGGGCGAGCGGGAGGGTGCGTTCTGGGAGGATGTCATATGATGCCCTCCCAGAACTGGACAACTGAACTGTAATTGTCATCTGGCTATAGCGAGGTTAGCAATTGATTAAAAGTGGGCAAATGAACCTGTTAAAAAAAGTGGGTAACTGGAAATTTTCTTAAAGTGTTACTAAACCCAGGACCTTGCATCTGGTCTCCCACAAATATAAACTGCTAAATACCTTTTCTCATCAGCAGTTTAGAGCAGTTTTGTGACATCTATCAATGTTCAGCAGAGCACATGTTAAGGCTTGTAGAAGAAGTTTTCTTTCTGCTCTAGGAGGATGCAAAACCCCTGACCTCTGTCTGGACAGTGCTGATTGGCCCTGTGCTGATCACATGCACTCTCCCAAGAAAAAAAAATCCTCTGTAGCAATACACTAAACTGAGCATGTGCAGCATGGCTACGGGTTCAGTTTGTCTTATCAGGAGATACGTCGTGGACATTTGAACTAGAGGAGGAGCAGTGAAGACAGGATTGAACGGCCTTTTTATACAATGCAGAAGATTAACCCCTTAGGTTCCACAGTGATTATAACAAGCATAATTTACTGCATATACAGACTGATTTTACTGTTGTGGGTTTAGTAACACTTTAACTTAATTCATATCTCCCTTGGTATTGTGGATTGACCAACATGCTAACATATTTCGAACCAGAAGTAGAGAGCTGTTATCAGAATAAACATTGAATAATTGATTCTTCTTAGTTAGAGATTTCATGTGCTATTGTATAGGAAAGGAGGCATATTCTGGGAACACTTAATGGTCATGGTGTACCTTTACCAGATTTGGCAGGCCCCAGTTATTTTGATCATCCTGTTGGGCAGTAATAACTTTGGTAAATGTAAAATATTGGACTTAATATTTACCATGCTGCATGGCTTTTTTTTCAGCATAGATTTTCCTTTCCTACTACTTTTATGGCACTTTCATAAAAGATTTAATGTGTTCTTTGGTCTGTATTTTCCCATCGCTGTCATTTTGATAAAATATGCAAAGAGCGCTTTGGAAAAATGTATGACTAAATTGGGTGGTCAATTTTCATCCAATGATTAATTAAAGGACCAGCCAATCTCAAACCACGCTGTCACTTGCGTAACAATGCCACCCTCAGCTGCACCTTGCACAGAGATTTTCCAGCTCGTGGGACCACAATCTATGTGCCAGCAGCCTGAGAGCGATTGGCACTGGGTTAGGTTAATTATGCAAATAACCCTTCAAACTCTAAACTGCCACCAGATAGCTTTGGGACTATCAACCCTCCACAATGTTAACAAGAACAAATGTGAATAATAAACATCTGTAACACACACTGTCACCACAGCCAGGTATATTCAGAGGATTATTATATACATTAGCACTCTTCAAGAGATAAGGAATCTTTAGTTTGCATTAAAAGCCTTAGAGATAGTTTTAAACACTTTTCAAAATAGAGTTTGCTAATGAAAAGGTCAAACAGTGCAATTAAATTATTTACTGAAAGGAATGTTACAAAGAAATAAAGAGAACAATAATGCAACAGAGAAATGAAAGGCGTTAAGAAGGCAGAATACTTGCAAAGTCCCTTAGTTTAGCAGTCCAATTGTCCAAGCAAAAACTGCCGTGGCTCTCATGGGTTTTCCTTGGTTGATGTTAAATGAGAGCTGGCTTACTAGATCCTGTCCATCCCTTTTCTGTGATATCAAGGGGGTGTGGACAGAGACCAACTGACCAATAATCTGGTTTAGGGGATGGGTGCTAGGAGGTCATCAATGTTATGACCAAGTGCCAACTGCAGTTTAATACTAATATTAACAACTTCCAGTATGTGCAGGTGGTATTCTATCAACTGGTAGATTAATATTCAGAATTATAGTTCAAACCCAGAGATACCAAACACAGCATACCTTGTCAACCAGGAGACTGGAACCTGCTTTCTCCCCTTTCATATGTGCTAACATAGTCATGTATGATCTTGATTTGTTCGGTATGATATTCCTCATTCAAATATATACCTAATAATAATGTGTTCTTTTACTGTTGTGTATTTACTTTAACTTGGTCTGCAATTAGATCTACTGTACATAATTATCAAGTACTGTATGTGTCATACTATCTAAAGTATAGATATGTTTTTGCATTCCAGTGTATAGAATCTCTTAGTCATTTCCACGGATAAAAAAATGTAATAATATTTCTTGCAATTACAGATGTAAGAACTCTTTGATAATCGCAAAACAATTTAGGAATCAATTTATAGATACAGACTGAAATTTAATTGGGTGTCTGATCCACGGTCCTTGTTTGTAGAATGGCATCTCTGCAATTCACATATTTGCAGAAGACCCTGGCTGTTTTTTACTGGATCTACCACTGTTTTTTTTACTTGATACTATAATTGTTAGTGGTGGGGCTAATACAACATTGGTGAAACTTGGATTTTTAAGTGTTTTTATAGGTCAGGATGGGTGCTGCTTTTCGAGGGTTTTTTGCACTTGCAATGAAGATGGATGTTTACATTTATTTGGCAACTCAGTTTCTATCTTGGTAGAAGTGGTCGCTAGTTTTTCTATTTTCACAGCTACAGGCTGTTTCCTAATATATGATACATGGTGTTTTGTTTCTTGAGACTAGGATTATTGAACATTTCTAAAGGAGTCTGCTTATTAAAAGCAAATTCATATGTATTTCATTTCCTCCTATACTTTATAATTAAAAGTTCTTTCATTAAAATATTGAAATAAAGATGTGCCACAATATTGTTTCATTCAGTTGATATGCTGGTTCCTGGTCATATAGTATGTGGACTGTCATTGCTCACCTCTTGCTTTGTCCAGTGCCTGTCTGTCATAATGATCATTTATTTACTATAGTTTCTAAGTCTGTCACCAAGAATAAAGCCTATTTTGGGGCAAAGAAAAAATTATCCCTTGCAGTTGGACTGCAAGGGTTAAATACTCATTTAAGTAAGGGTACCAGAAAAAAAGCAGCTTAACTTACCTGATCTCTGCTACTCTCTTAAATATCTCTTCTATAGAGAGAATAAGGTTTGTTTGTACAACAGCAACTTTTGTTGGTGTTTATCATAACTGAGACACTACAGCCCTCAATAGCTTGCCCAATAGTTAGCTGCCCATTCTTCTTGAAAAAATGCCTCTAGGTCATGCAAAAGCGTTGGTCCTCTTGCATGAACCACACCTTTGAGATCTCTCCAGAGTGGCTTGATGATATTAAGGTCAGGGAATTGTGATGGCCACTCCTAGACCTTCACCTTTTTCTGCTGTAACCACTGAAAGGTCCAATTAGACTTGTGCTTATTATTATTGTCATGATGGAAAGTCCAAGAGAGTCCAATGTGCAGATTTTGTGAACAAGACTGCAAATTGTCTGCCAGTATTTTCTGATAACATGCTGCATTCATCTTACCATCAATTTTCACAAGATTCTCTATGTCTTTGGAGTTCACACTCCTCCAAAACATTAGTGAACCATCACCATGGTACAAAGTGGGGATGGTTTTATTGTTGCTATAGACCTTGTTAACCCCTCTCCAAACATAATGCTTATGGTTGTGACCATAAAGCTCTATTTTAGTCTCCTTACTTTAGCTTACAGTGTGCCAGAAGCTTTGAGGCATGTTAAGGTGTTGTTGGGCATATTGTAACTGGACTTTTTTTGTGGGATTGGCCCAGTAAAGACTTCTTTCTGTCAATTCAACCATGCAGCTCAGATTTGCTCCTTGAAACAACCACACCATCTTTTTCCAGAGCAATCTGTATTTTTCCTGAGGTTACATGTGGGTTTTTCTTTGTATTCTGAACAATTCTTCTGGCAACTGCAATCTTTCTTGGTATTCAAGGCTTTGGATTTGTAAACTTTTGATCAGGGCCATTTGGGTGATTTCTGTTATTATTATGATTTAAAATGGGGCCAAACAGCTGTGTGATAATAAATGGCTTCATATGATCACTAGCCTTAAATAAACAATAGTTGTTTTTGGCATGATCAGTCATATTTTCAATAGCAATGCCAAAATTTCATGATTTCTGCCAGAGTATGCACATTTTTTAGCACAATTGTATTTTTAGCTCCCAAGTGTATTACTTTACATTTTCAGTACTAAACACCATCTGCCATATAGCTGCCTACCAATCTATGTAAACCAGGTCTTCTTGTAAAGTTGCTATATCCTGTTGTGACACTATCACCTTGCTTAACATTGTATCATCAACAAACACTGAGATTGAATTATTTATTCTAGACTCTCTATCATTTATGAACAAGTTAAACAGAATTGGATCAAGGACAGAGGCCATGCAACTCTAGACTATTTAAAAAAGATTCCATTAATCACCACTTTCTGGACGTTTTTCTGCAACCAGATTTCTACCTTTTTACATACAATGTCACCAATGCCAAAATATTCCACCTTGTTACTAGCCACATTAGCAATGTCATCTCTCGTATTCACTATCAAATAGCTTTTGACTTACAGGCACACCCCTCCTCTTCTTCTACCTACACTGTCCCTCCAATAAAGAGTATACCCTTGGATAGTCACAAGCCAATCATGCGATAACACTTGTTAAAGGATAAATAAAATCTTCTTTAGTATTACAAATAAAAAATCTCAAGCTGAATGTTGAAAACCTTGATGCTATTGACCTATGTACTGGCAAAGTATTATATATGTATCATGTATTTGACTCAATATATGCTTCTTGCATACAGACTCTAATGGTTTACTTGAACCCAACTATGAGATTCTTTTATAGTTAACCTCTAACGCTCTGCTTTCTGCTAATTCATATTTGAGTATTTGAGAGCACTCTGTGTTTCATTTGTTGAAGAGAAAGTATTTATCCTTTCTTGTTAACCCCCTCTAAGCCCTTCCCTGGACTGTCTTTACATAAATATATATACAGTATATATATATATATATA